TCGCTCAGAATCGTTTTTCGTATACAATGATATAATATCATTGGATTCAAATTTAATTCCATCCATTACAGTAACCCACTTGTAACCTACTGGACAGCAGAGCGACATCCACGACTTACCCGGCTTTTTTTTAATTTAAGCTATAAACGTTAGTAACGATATAGGTACAATAAAATTCTGGATTTTCTCAATACCAATTTTTGGCGGTTATCTAGCTCTCGTCAAATTATAAAAAAAAATTAATTTTCTCAATAGCATGATGATGTAAAGTAATATTTGGTAAATATTGTATTGATATATGTTTGTAGAGGAAACAAAAAGTTTTATTCTTATATTGAGTGACAGGAAGTCACCAACACTTTGACCATGCACTCTCAAATCTTTAATATACATCACTCTACTTATAATTTAAATATCCGCAACGGTATTATTATTATGGCGTTCGCGGCGATTAATCGTCATAATCGGCGCGACACGTGTCATATCGATTCCGTCACATGACGGAAGTAATTATTATTTTATCCGCAGACGAATCAGTGTTTTCATCTCGTTCGAAAACGCGTACGTCGAAATTTTTTCTTTATCTTCCGTCTGTGCTCTCGCACACGTACTCGTGCGTCTGACGGGAGATTTTCACTCTTGGCAAGAAAAGTGTCCCCTCTACGCCCGTCACCGGTGGAGGTCGATCTCCGAACGTCGCGGGAAATCTTCGGCTGATCATGGCGGGTTAGGTTTGATTTGGATCGTTACCTGTGTATACAGTCGCACCGCCACCGCCGCCGACATGTCGCAGTCTCCGAGTGCCGTTCGTCAGAACAGGGACGTCGATCAATAATTATTTATTTTTGTCGCTGTTGTCGTCGTTGCGTTGACTGCAGTTTTATATTGTCTCGAAAGAGTGTTTTTCTATATCTGCACATAATATTCGGTTTTCCGGTTTTTTTGTTTAAGACATCTCATTTGTCGCTTCCAAATGAATAATGGCCAACACCGCTGCGCCGACCATGTGTAGTTTTAGTCGCTGGTCCGCGGCAGCGGCTGGTCTCTTGTTTTTGTTGTCGTTGACTTTAGGTCACCAGGCCACCGCGGACGTCCGGCATGTCCGGCACAAGAGGACGGTATCGGATCTCATGGAAGGACTCATGAACGCCATGCACTTTCACGTGGATCCAATGCCCTTACCATCCACCGTAATCGCCCGAATCACTCATTTGTCGACACCCAGCAAAGTTTACAAGTAAGCCGATACTATTAATATTATTATTGTCATTGTAATTGAAATATCAGATATGGTTGTTTTTTCATCATACTATAAACATAATCTAAAATGTTTATACGATTTTTAATCTCATTCTTTAACTATAAGAAGATTTATAAAAGTTTATTTCGTGTGATACTTAAATATACTTTTTTACTCGATTATTGGGCATTGTATAATTATTAAACACTAGTAAACTAAAAGCATGACTTTATTTTAAATAGGTTTAGTGTTTAGTCGTTAATATTGTCGCTGAATTTAAAAATGTTAATTTTCATATACTTTAGTTCTTCTCTAATAAAATAATAAATTACGTAGATATAATAACAACATATATTTTTAAATTAAATTTTACTTTATTAATATTAGGTAGATTACTAATAAGTAATAACTATCGAATAATTATAGTTTTATTAAGATGCGTTATTGACATTTTAACTGTTTTCGAGTATATTTAATGTTTATCTACAAGTAAATGCGCACATAAAGGTATTTTATCCATCCTAATATATTATGCATGAATTAATACTTTTATTTTTATATAGTTTCACTTTTATTCCTATATACTGCAATTTTTACACATGTCAAAATATACGTTATAGCGTTTATAATAATTTTCGATTTTACGTTCCGCGAGATTAAACCATAGGAAATAGAATAATAATATCACATAGAACAGCTGTTATTTTAATATGTAATTATATAACAGTATAGCTAATTATGAAGTATGATATTATGTTTGTTGTTATTATATTTATTTTAGTTTATTATTAATTCGTTGAAAAACATTAACTGCAATTACTCAATTATTGAAATTAAGAAGAAAAATTAAAGGAGGAAAAGTCCATCGAAAAAAGACAAACTTTTTTGTGTATATCGTATACACACTATACACTATACATTTAACATAACACGTATTATACAGATCGTTTTAAAAGTTTTACAGAAATTTCCAAACATCAACCAATTTAATCTTAGAACTTTACGCTCCACAAAACTTGGTACCTACTTTAGTTTCTAATTTTTAATCTACTGGTGCTAATTTGATTTCACGAAAATACCCTATGAGATTTTATGATAAATTATTTTATGTACTATATCCAAAGCGTTAATGATTGATAAATAGATTATAAATAGATTATCAAAATTTTTTTATGAATTTCTAGATAAACATAATTTGCGAATTTTTGTGATTTTTACGTATTTGGTCAAAATTCAAACTTTGAATGCTTGTTAAAAAAAAATTGTGACTGAATTTATTTTATTTTTCAACTGCTATTGTAGCAATATGTTTAAAACCTTGWATTAAATTTTCAASCTTTTCTACCCAACAAATACATTTTTATCTATATTAATTTAAGAAAACACTAATAATRATCGAAATTTGCATACACCTATAAATAATTCAAGTTAAATCAAATTTTTTTGAAAATTGCATGGTGAATAGAATATACTTATATAAACATTCGRTGAAAATTTCATGTATCTATGATCGTTTGTTTTAAAGTTACATAAAAAACCAAAATCTATTTAGATCGAAAACTGATTGTACGTAAAATTTCCCGTTTTTCTCTTAATTTTTAGTTTGTTTATCCCGATTATTAAGTAAAATATTGAGAATTTTTTACTTTTACCTTCATATATCATCTAGATTCACTTTCTGATCGAACGAAGTACTGAAGTCGAAAATCGAAGCACTTTTACTGCCCCAAAACGTGATTACAGACACACAAAAAAAGAACACACACATCATAGTAAAATCAATACATTCTTCGCTCTGCTTAGAATCTAAAATTACAAATGCTAAACTGGTAATATTTGTTAAAATATCGATGATCGATATTATAATAATATTTAACACCGATATTCTATATTTCTAAATAACTAATTTCCCTTACATAACGTACCTACTATACATAATAAGAAATGTTTTTATACACACCCATTGGAAATCGTATGAATTATGTATTGTGTTGCGACATTTTTTTTTTATGAAATTATCGATGCATTTATCGATGCCAAATATCTATTACCTGCGTATCATTTATTTAATTTTTGAAATTGTCTTATTTTTCCAATACATCTAATACATCGTAAAAAAGTATTGAATATAGAATAGTGAAATAAAACCATTACAATATAATTATATTTTTTATTAATTATTATATCATTGTTTTCTATAATTTTCTTTTATTTAATACGAAGGTATTACAATTTATATTTTAACGAATTCAGTTAAAATATAATTATTATAAGTGATAATATAAAAATGGAATCATTATTGCTGAGTAAAAAAAAATTAACTAGGGATTTAATGATGAACGATCTTCATATTTATTTAAGAAAATAATAATAATATGATGGGATTATCAACGAACAAAGTTACACCCACGTAGTCAAAAAACATTCTCTTATAAAAGCGGTCCTTATTATACTAACAAAGTATTATTATTAACAATATAAAATAGGTAGTAGAAGTGAAAATGAGCGATGGACTCGTTTATTTAGTATTTTTCATTCGTCATAGATAATTTTTTATTATACTTAGTATATTTATTTATTATTTATTATTATTTTTTTTTTTTTTTATAAAGGAGAAAAATATAATAATATATTGTTGTATAAATAATTAATCAATTTCATTGGGCAATTAAATAATTTTGCTTTGAAATGGTAGAGCCACCATTAAGTATAGGTATTAGGTACCACRATGAGCTAATTGTAATCTACTTGAGGTATTTAATATGAGTATAAAATAATTCATAACCTACGACTAAATCATTTTAAACTTTATAATTTTATTAGATCACATATAATCAAATATTAAAATCCCAATACTATTCGTTTTTTTTWTATATATATATATAAATTTAAAGAGTGCTTTCAAAACAGATTATAATATAGCAATTTATGTTACTTGAAAAATAATATTTATTATTCCTATAACTAGGTCATGGTTCTATATAAGATTTATGTTAAATTAATGTAATAGGTTGTTTACAGATATTATTGATATAGGCAAAATGTGCATTAGTCCATTACATTGTTAATAATATAAATATATAGGTGTTTTTTTTATTAAACCTTTATTAATATATTCAATCGAAAAGTGGAATCATTATCATTAATTTAATGTGTCTAGAAAATTATACAACAATATTCAGCGATTCGCGTGAATTTCTATTTAAATTTATATTACTTGATGACTGATGTCACGTACAAGACTATTGTTTATTATTATTATTCAAAATTGCAGCACAAGAGAAATTACCTTTGTCCAATATAAATTGTAGAACAATCGTTTATGAAACTATATCAATTTTATTTATTTTTTCAAAAGTCTTTTTCGTGACATTTTTATTTTGATATGGTWGATTGACGCGTTTGGTTTTTTTTTCTACAGGTACGTTCCAGTCCAAACATTAAAGTTATCAAAATTGCGTGCTCGTCAAGTAGCTGAACCAAAATTAAGACTAAAATATCCGAAAAAAATTTCAATAGCCACAGAAGACTCGTCGTTGACATTGTTGAAAAACGATCTTCCGTGGACGTTACACCCGCTTCCACCTCCTTTGCCAACGTCCAAAACGATCAAGCTCGAGGTGGACAAATCAATGCCGTGGGCATTGCACCCGCTCCCACCGCCCGTAAAGACGAAAACTTATTCTGATTTCTATTGGCCGGACTCTAAGACACGGCCAAAGTTCTATTACAAGTCGAAACCGTCGAAGCCATACCGTTATGTGAATAATAATAACTATAAATACAAGAATACGAAGTCCCATGTCAATTTCAAACCGACTTCGGAATATAGCAAGCCCGCTGTCGGTTATAGTTCCGTCGTCGATCATGATACCAAGACAAACGATTACAACAGTCACGCTGATCACAAGCCCGCCGATTACAATAGTAATAACAATAACGACAATAATTACGATCACGTCGGCTACTCGCCGGATAGTTTCAAGTACGTCGACTACAAGCACATCGATTACAAGCATATCGATTACAAGTCTCCAGACTACAAGTCCGAATACTCGAAGCATACGATGGGAGGAGAACTGCACGAAATCAATGACGACGGCGACGGCGACCATTACGACCACAACGACAACGACGTTTACCATTATTCGCACGACGATCACTCGGGCCGAATCAACGATTCGCCGTCGCCGTCGTCGCCGCCTACTTCCGAATACGTGTCGCACATCACCATCGAACCGTCCATTCAAATAGCGTCGTTTTCCGAAACGGAACTGCAAGGCGACGGGACGAATAAGGACAGCAGCAGCCTGTCTCAGAACGATGCGAAACACAGGTCGTGCCAGTGTACGATAAACGGCCACCGGCATAAACGTGACGTAGATGGCGACGACGGTCCTCGCCGACCTTGGACTGCAATCAATGGTACCGTAGCGGTCGCCCACGTCGACCCTACCGACAACCGTACTGCGATCCGGAAGCCAACGGATTCGAACGCGGCGCAGTCCTCGCGGAACGCGTACTTCGCACCACCGCGAGTCGGACATGCCACCGACGTGCAAATAATCAAGTCACACGACATCACCGATCAATCGATGATCAACGGTCACGGTCTTGCGGACGACCCTAGCCGTGCGCACGGCGCTTCAGGTTCTGCGAACGGTCCCGGACTCGCGGTGAACGGCGTGGGTTATGTGCAACGGGTGCGCAACATGAACAACGACCATCCGGTCATTCGGCTGCCACCCGCCGAAGCGGATCATCACGTACAGACGAAAAAGAACGACGCTCACGCGTTCAGGGACGATAGCGACAAATTCAAAGTGGACTTTGGTCGCGACATCAATAATGCACGCGACGAGTCGAAATCGGCTGCCAACAAGCAAGGACTGCAGTACTCGCTCATCAAACAGGACGTGGGAAGCGGAGGCGGAGGCGAAGGAGGAAGTGATGTCGGTAACTCCRGATTTGCAGACGATTTCGGAAACAGACCGACCCGGGACAGACCGGACACAMATGGCAGAGTTTATCACACCGTCAGAAGCAAAGTGGAGAACTCGGATCGAGGAGTTTCGTTCAGCGTGCAGACTCCGTTTTCCGTTTCCAGTTTTTCGTCAAACGTCCGACATCCGGAAGAACGTCATTCTCGGTTTCGTTAYACCGGACGCAAATCCGAGTCGTCCGCATCGCCATCGCCGTCACCGTTKTTGTCGACCTTCCAGACGGGATACGCAGAACCACCGCTGGATTTTGAGCAATTCGGCTTGAAGTCGGCTCTGGACGACTACCATCCAATCAGTCACGATTATTTTTCGAGTGACTTGTTTGAAGACAAACAGCCGGAATCTGTAACAGATGATCGGTTTTCATCTCGATTTCCAGAGAGCTTCAGCGTGAAAAGTCGACCTAGTTCCGGGGTCGCGGGTCGACCAATTTCGCACTTTTCTAAAGATTTCGGCCTCGACAACGACGACCGGAGTCGTTTGAAATCGTTCCGATACAACGCGAAAAACGGGCCATCGCAGTCGGTCGACGATCTGTTCGACATCCGGTCGAAGGGCGGACGTTCGTCCAACGAACAATCGGTCTTGGAATATTTCCAGCCGGTYGTTATCGACTTCGACAAATCAAAACAGGATAACAACGATTTCAAATCGTTCGGTGGCAACAGCAATACCAACCACGGTGGAATCGACAAATCGAGGTACTTCAGTAAAACGGATACTTCGATTTTTGGGAAATTAAAAAAAAATCAGAATTCGGATCATCTTCGTTTACCCGGCCGTCTGCACGAATCCAACGAGAACTTGTCGAGGAAAATGCTTTTACATCCTTCCACATTCGACATAGATTAGCACGATATTTATACATAATWGCGCGTATATATAGGTCGCTTGTATAACTGTTTAAACGTGTTTTCGTATAAACCGTGATTTACTTACAACCATCAGATTATGCGATAGGTATTTTAAAAAAAAAACATGTTTTGCCATTATACGCTCTTTGTGTTTATTATTATTATCGTTATTATTACTGTTTTAAGACAATGTACGCATAAGTATTTCCAGCCCTGTAATTAAAAATAATTGAAATTTTTTCATATAAATACTATATAATATACAATTGATATTGATCGGTTGATTCGACTTATAAGAACGAATTCCTGTCTTTATATATATATATATATATATATATATATATAATATATATGCGTATGTGTAATTAATTACAGCTCGGTGTGTTTAAAAAGAAAATACATTTTTCTTAGTGAACACTTTACTTTATTGTTTAAAAAAATGTTTTAATTTGTTATCGCTAATAAATTTAGGGTGCCATGTAAAATAAAATATTTTTAATATTAGATGATAAAAAAAAAGAAGTTTTTATACATCGTGGTGACATTTAAATATGTTACGTGAAACGGCTATTATTTTTATAACATACAGAACGCGGTTTGCGATTAGTTTGTACACTTAAACATATAGTATATACATATATATATAATGTACAACATGTGATGAATGTATTAATGTTAATTGCTATGTTCATATATATTTATATATATAGATTATATAATATGATCGTTTATGTTATGCTATGAAATGATTTTCTTGATGGAATTATAAAATATATGTAATTTAATTATTATAAATAAATAATTTAATTTATATAATATATGTATAGCGTATACTGTATAGTGTGCACGTATCGACATTTTGAAAGCTTAAATTTTCACTTGAAATTGTTTCAGAAATATTTTGCGTGACCTATTATACTGAAAGCGCAGCATTTCGACAMACTTATAAMGCTCAATTGTAAACGTAAATTAAGCAAAATTTGTTGAGCGTTGTAGTTGCTATTGTGCTTTGATATATATATTGGAAAAAAAATCGAAAACTAAACTTGAAAATTTAAATAATTACTTAAACTATTGATCGGTCGCGATCGACGATCGTCGCGACACAACGAAAGCGAGCGCACTCACCCTCCCTACCGGACCGACCCGTCGTCACTAGTCGAGTCGAGTCGAGTCGAGTCTGCGCGTCGTTGTCGTTCGCAACAACTAATCGGCCATTAAGCCTATTAAATATTTTAATATATTATTAATTATTATAATTACTTATGTGAAAATAAATCAAAAATCGTTTATATTATACGAAGTGCGTATTCTATTTTATATTATACAGTCCTATTCGTAACATGGTCCATCGAGCCGGATTATTAGTAGTGTTGTTCGTATTGTTTGTATTACGGCCGTAGTGCGTAGGCTCAGTAAATCGTTTGTGATCTAGCTTTCTTAAGCTTATTCGAATATTCGTTTATTTAGTGCGATGGCGAATACCGAATATCGTCTATTCGTATAAGAATACGCATTTTTCACATTTGTTTAATTTCGTTTCCGTGAGTGTTCAAATATTCACGCTAGTATCGAGTGAATTTATACACAAAAGTCGTTGTATTCGCGTGGCCTTCGGGTTTTTACGCGGTCACCATTAAGTGTGTGTGTATTGTGTTTCGACTGCGCGTGTTATCGCAGTTTTAATATATCGTAAAATCGTCGCCGCCGTCGCGTCGTGTCGTTAGTATTATCGTTATATTTATATAATATTATATTCTTTCGATCGCGACCGCACGCGCGGATTATAATACGAATAATCGTTATTATTCTTTACGGCTCGGTTGCCGTCGTCTGATCTTCASTCGCAGGCCTGGTAACAGTGGTAACACATTAGTGTTTCTACTGTCGTTTCGTTTCTATTGTCCAGCCTCCGGCGTTATATTTCAAATATCGYGCACGCGTCGTGCTTATCATCGATTCATCGTCTTATCGTTTCGTTTCCGTAGTCCAGCGTAAATACAGTGATAACTATTGTTTACGTTCGTGTAAACGTTGTGCGGTAACGTATTTATTCAAAATTATAAATTCGTATAATTTTATAATACTAATCTCAGTACGAGTACGGAGTGTCGGTGCAGCAGAAGAGTAATTGGCGTTCACAGTTCAGAAAAACAGCATAGAGGTTAGTCGCCAGTAGTTTATTTATTCTTGTACAATTTTCCTTTATAG